CGCTGCTGGGAGCCGCGCTGCTCTCCAGGTTTGTTGGGCTGCCTTGCGGCGTGCTCAGGTGACGTTGAGCCAAGGCACCTCTTCTTGCCTTTCTTGACGACTGTTGAGCTTTGATCAAATAAATTCGTATCACTGGACGGTGTAACCAGCATAAAATAATTAAAACTATAGCAACTCAATGATTGCTGTGAAGAAGGGAAATTTATTATAGTTGATACAAGATTACAGTTAAAGAATTACTTTAAAAGAGAGAGATAGAGTTCTTAGTCTCGAGACGCGGGCAGGCGTGGGGGGCGAGAGAGAGCGGAAGTTGCATCATGGGCGTGACCGCCGCCGCTCGCGCCGCGAGGGGGGGGGGGGGGGGGGGGGTGGCGTCTTATTACACGGCTTTCTTACATTTTGAAGGCCATCCCTCGCAATATCTTCAAATAAAAATGAGAAATTAAATCGCACACACAAAAAAAGACAGTGGATCTGCAACATACTCCCACCAATAATTATGGAGTAATTATTCTTCTGGATTCACTATGATCAATATCTGTCAAGCGGCTTAACAATTCTTCCTGATCTTGTGATAACAGGTGAATCTTTCCCTCGGATGCTCCGTTGCGATATACTTGGTGTGTCAAGATTTATCTTCTCTTTCTCTAGATCACGGCCTTTTCCGAAATCTTCTTTAGAATGGTTTTCGCTTGATTCAAGAAAGAACAACCGTTGAACAGGTCGCAAAAAATTTTCACGTTTAGTTTTTATTATAGCGACTCTAACGATACCATCTTTTCCCGGGTAGGTCTTCTCAATAACTCCGATTGGCCATTCTGTTCGCTTTTTGTTATCGACCTCCATGAGTACAACATCGCCTTCTTTAATTGACTTTGTCTTGTTTCTAGTATTTTGTCGCAGAAACCCTAAGTACTCTTTTCTCTGTCGAATTGTCTCGCGTAACTTTTGTACTTTTCCATGACTTTCTTTCAGGAACTTAGAGTCGACAATGTCCGCTTCAGGTACAAATAAGCATGATGCGTTGTCACACATGAATTTGGCAGGTGTTATTGGTACCAAGCCAGATTCTTCACTGATCGCGGTCAAAGGTCTCGTATTCATTGCTGACTCCACTTCACATATCACAGTCTGTAGTTCTTCATATGAGACTGTTTTGTCTCCCAATACTTTTCGGATCAGTTGCTTCATGAGACCCACAAGGCGTTCCCACCATCCTCCCCAAAATGCTGCTGTTGGGGGGTTGAAATTCCACTTAATACGTTGTACGGTGGCATAACGTAGGACATCATTCCAACTAACTTTCTTGAATAAGTTATTGCATCCGACAAAATTGAGGCCGTTGTCAGAGTACACAATGCTCGGTCTACCACGTCTTGCAACAAATCTTCGAAAAGTGTCAAGAAATCCTTCAGTAGACACTGTTTTTGTGAGCTCCAAATGTACAGCTCTGTACACAGCACAGGTGTACAACACTACCCATATTTTCTTTCCACCGGTCTCAGTCAAAGGTCCAGCTAGATCCACACCGATCACTCCAAATGCTGGTGTTGATCCAATCCTGGTTGCTGGAATAGGAATGCTCTCAGTCTGGACTCTCTTGGAATTGTAACGACGACATGTAGCACATGCAGAGATGATACTTCTTATGGTTCTCTTGCCTTTTAGAATCCAAAAACGGCATCTCACCAGTTGTTGAGTTGTTTGAATTCCGGCATGGGACATCATCTCGTGCTCTTTTCGAATCAAAAGCTTGACTACTTGGTTTTCCCCCGGAAGAACTATCGGGCATCTTGTATCATAGTCGTCTTCTCCAAAATACAGTTGACTCTTGATTCGATATAGTCCATATTCATCTGTAAAAGCATTGAGCTTGTTTATTCGCTTATCATCTCTCCCAAAACTTATTAGTTGGATATGCCGTAATACTACCTTTTCAGCTTCTTCAAATTCTTCTACAGAGATTTCTTTTGACATCTTATCATGTTGTCTGGGTCGCGATTCATCTGAGATAGTCTTCCTTTTAAAACGCAGTAAATAAGCGACAATCCGTACTATACGATGATAATCTCCATACCTCTCAAGTTTGTCCATGAAATTATCTTTCGTGCTGTTGACGGCGATGATTACTGTCTTCTTCAATTCCTTATTGATTTCTTCTTCATCAAAAATCGGATAAAATTGATTCCAGCTTGCTTCTTCTCCCCAGAGAAAAGAGGGTCCCTCCCACCATTTATGCTCTATCAATTTCTTTACACTGCTCCCACGTGATGGAAGGTCAGCTGGATTGTTTACCCCTGACACATGATGCCAATTTTCTTTCTTCGAAATAGAACAGATTTCGTTGACTCTGTTTCTGACAAATGTTGCCCACGGTTTCTCATTTTGAATCCAACGAAGTGCAGTTGAGGAGTCCGTCCAAAACCAAATATTGGTCTCTGGTATTGCAATCGATTCCGATATAATCTTCATGACTTGCTTTGTCAATCTGGATCCGATGAGGCATGACATTAATTCTAATCTCGGAATAGTAAGTTTCTTTTTGGGAGCTACTCTTGCCTTTGATGCGACGAGTTGTACATTTACTTCTTTATTTTTCACTGTTCTTAAGTAAATGCAGGTTGCATAGGCATCTTGACTCGCATCACAAAACACATGCAGTGATGGCTGTTCAAACCCATCTCTCATCACCCACCTTGGAATCCTGGCAGACAACAATTCGGGAATTTGACTCTGCCATTCCACAAACTTCTTCGCAATGTCCTCTGAGACTGGCTGATCCCATTTCAACTCAGACTTCCAACATTGTTGTAGGATGATCTTCGGCACTATGGTGAATGGAGAAAACAAACCGAGAGGGTCAAACACAGCATGGGCCTCCGATAGCATAATCCTCTTTGTCAATTTATGAGTCTGATTTTCTATTTCGGCATCATTCTCTTGATCCAATGACTTTTAGGTTGGAGTCATCATTAGCTTATCCGAAATTGTCAAAGTGTCATCAGTTGTGTTCCATTTCATACCTAGCACAGAAATATTCTCACTGTTAACTATGCCGGGGCCTCCCATCTGCCACTCTCTTAGATTGAATCCTGCTGGGCTGAGCAGGTCAATAGACTGCTGTTGAAAGACTTGTGCCTCTTCTAACGAAGTAACACTATTGACGCAGTTGTCCATGTACATACATTTTAGCAATGGGATTACTTCTCTTTCATAATGCTCCAAATGTAACTTCAATGTAGCTGCTAGGAGGAAAGGACTTGATGTAACTCCGAACACCACTCTTTTGTGTTGATAAATCCGAAGATTCTCTTGCTTGCCGTCCTCCCACCATAGAAATCTCAAAAATTGTCTGTCTTCTTTTGCCACTGATATTTGAAGGAAGGCCTTTTCTATGTCTGCTACTACGCCGATTTTATTGAGTCGAAATCTCAGCATGATATCCGGAATGAGCTCCAATAAGTTGGGTCCCTTCGCCAAACAATCATTCAGAGACCATCCACCCTTTGTCTTACAGGAAGCATCAAAAACCGGTCGTACTGGTGTCGTGCTGCTTCCAGATTTCACTACTGCTCGGTGTGGTAGAAAGTATTTTAATGTATCATCTTTATCTGTCTGGATTCTTTCGATGATCCCATTTTCCTCCCATTCTTCAAATATCTTGTTGTAATGGTGATAAAGGCCTCTTTTCTTTAGATCCTCTGTCATCTTCCGGAGTCTTTTCTCGGCATGGCTTTTATTTTCTTTCAGCTTCTGGGCTGGTTCTATCCATGGAAGGTGCACCTCGTATCTACCAGATTCCAATCGCTTTGTTTCAGTCCGAAACTTATCCATAATAGCCTGATCTGTCTCTTTCTTTGACTCTGCTTGCCCATCATCCATGACTCCAATATTTTCCAGAGACCATAAATCGGAAACCTTTATTTCTTGTGTCATTAAAGATGTGATCAGCATACTGTTATGAACATGGTTAGGATTTTTATCCGGGAATTTTCCTTCCGTTTTGCCTTGAACTACCCAACCTAACAATGTTTCTCGAGCAATAAGATCATCCGATAATCTTATCATATTGGCTGTAGTTATTTTTGGGTTAATGTCTACACCGAGGAGAAGCTCTACCACATCACTTTCGGCTTTAAATGCTGAGAGCTGTATCTTCTTTGACGCAAGTTCACGAGCCCATGAACCAAATGTAGGCTTTCTTATACATCTGGCTATTTGATTAGAGGCTGATGCTGGACATGAAATGCATCTATCATTCTCAATACTTGATAGAGTCAGGCAGTAGATCCGATGTTGATCAGTATACCTGATCCCACCAAATATTTCATGATCAAGCTCTTCTTCTCCCATATGATAGGAACACCCAAATCCTTTACAATGTGTTCTAAAATGTACGATTGGGATGATCCACTATCAATTACTGCCCGTACCACTTTGCTACCTTTGGGACCCCAAACTTTCACTAATAATGTTTCAAGGCATGCTTTGGTGCTTACACAGTTGGACATCTCGTTCACCGTAGCTACATCACTCGAACCTGGAGTTGACGTTGAATTCTGTCGTCGTTGTGGACTCTTTCTTTCAGTTTCAGCATGATCTGCACCTCTACACATGATGGAATAATGCCCATCCCTTTTGCAGAAATCACAGCGCACTTTCTTTTTACATTGCCTGCTTCTGTGGCCTGGAAGCAGACATTTAAAACAGTTCTTGTAGCTCTTGATTTTCTCATTTTTCTGGTCCATGCCCATTTTCATTCCTTTTCGACAGTCTTGACTTGGATGACCATTGTCGCAGAAAATGCATTTAAATTTCTCACGCAGTGTTGGTGAGATGTCGGAATGCATAAATCCAGAGGTTGTAGCAATTTCACGCCTTGTATGGAAACTTCTTTTCTTCGTTTCTATCTTCCCTGGTGTAGGCTGAGCTAAGGAATCTGAATGCTTATTGTAGGCCATTTCTCTATCCTTAGTCTGATTGACCTCACGACGAAGAAACTGCCACGTTCACTGCTGCGCTGCCATGAAATGAGGACATCCTCTGGTAGACATGATTCAACTACCGGATACAATATATCGGCACACTTGTCTGTAGTTACACCAAGCATACTTAAATGCCTAATTTGAGAGAGTTCAACTTTGTCACAAGATCTTTAAAGTTGACCTTTCTCTCTTGTGCACTTCGGATGACCAACCACAATAGATCTCGAACATAGACCTTTATTAGCATGTTATATATCTCGCCCAAATCTTTCTTTAAGATCTTTGATAACCGAAGCATAATTCTTTCCTGAGACAGGATAACTTAATACTAGTTGCTGAGCTTCGGAATTTTCCAACATGCAGTCTACTAGATATTGGTACTTATCTGAAGTGAGAGATCCTTGTCGTTGTGGATGTCTTCAAACCTCGACCAGAAGGTGATCCATTCTCGTACATCACCTCTAAACTCTGGGAGTTTTCTCTTGGGAAGCAGAACCCTTCTCCGGGTTGTACTGTTGCTCGTATCCGACGAGGTTTCATCAGGCTGGGGCGACACACCTTTCTTCGGATTCAGTACCTTTTCTAACTCTTCTCTCATCCTTTTGATTAGTCTGTCATACTTCAGACGTTCATCATATTCTTTTTCCTGTTCTGCTTCAGTCACTTCTTCATCCAACATGGCCTCAGTTACTTTCTCATCCCATTCATGAAGATCTCGACATAAATCTTCAAGCTGTAGTGCTGAGACCCTCAAGTCTGTCTTGTCCAGTTCTTCTACTGGCTTCTTCAGGGCTGTTTCAACACTGTTGATGAGCTTTGTGATTTGGCCACGAACAGGCCTTCTTCCTTTCTTGAGGCGATTCATTTTGAATTACAAAATATGCTGTTGTACCATCCTGTCGGGGACGCCAAAAAATGTTGAGCTTTGATCAAATAAATTCGTATCACTGGACGGTGTAACCAGCATAAAATAATTAAAACTATAGCAACTCAATGATTGCTGTGAAGAAGGGAAATTTATTATAGTTGATACAAGATTACAGTTAAAGAATTACTTTAAAAGAGAGAGATAGAGTTCTTAGTCTCGAGACGCGGGCAGGCGTTGGGGGCGAGAGAGAGCGGAAGTTGCATCATGGGCGTGATCGCCGCCGCTCGCGCCGCGAGGGGGGGGGGGGGGGTGGCGTCTTATTACACGGCTTTCTTACATTTTGAAGGCCATCCCTCGCAATATCTTCAAATAAAAATGAGAAATTAAATCGCACACACAAAAAAAGACAGTGGATCTGCAACAACGACGATGAACTGTCGTCCACCTCGGCCATCTTGCGGTCGGCCCAGTTGAGCGAGGCCGGGTTGGCTAGATTCACGCTGGAAGAGGCAGCAGTCGTTGGCGCCGTGACATCACGCGCGGCGGCCAAATTTACATGCATGTTGCCTGCCGGCGATTTTGCATGATTAGCTTTTTCAAGCGATTCTTCAGAAATAGTCTTCTGTAGAACGATTTTTGGTGATATCTCGTCACCGGTTTGGGATACACAGCTGGGCCTTTCAGGCACGGATTCAGCTGCTTCCGGGCTACTCGCCAGTACCAAATTTGGCTTTTCTTTTGCCATTCATACGCCCGCCAGAGGCGAAAAACGGCGAAGCTAAAAAATAGCGTGGCCGCACACTCGGCGTATGTATGTATGTATGTATGTACAATAAAACCCCTCTATAGTGAACCCCAATGGGACAGAGCTTTTGGTTCACTATAGCCACGGTTCACTATAGCCACGGTTTGGCTATTTTTTTTTACTTTTCAAAAATTTTTGACCATATAATTAAAAAACAGCCATACACACAAGAAGAGGCTGCCTCTAAATAGTGGTCACTTTATTTTAATTACCTTAATTGACCAATTTCCTTATATTTATACTAAATAATAATAGAAATCATTAGATGATAGGTTCTTCTTATCATTAACATACCTGTACCTGTACCATTAACAACATGTACCTCTATGTCTAAGTTAAAAATCAAGACATATCCTAGGCAAAGTTTTATTAAATATATATTCAAAGATATGAAATGATTTTAAAACATCATTATCACATTATATAATACAATTTTTACTTGAAAAAATGGCTCTAACACCTTGTTGTTTCAAAGCATTCTTCCAAGCATTGCACCATTCAAATAAAGTAAGTGTTTTTCTTCCATTTCATGTTTCTCCATATTCTTCTAGATTTTTTTTTTTTACCTGTCATGCAAAACATTGCTGACTTTAAAATCACCATAGTTAATGGCATAAAAATAATTTTTGTTTCATCACGGGACCGTTTATTTGGACTTTTTTTTTTTTAGCCTTAAAACGTACGATCGTGATCGCAGCAAGAGTTGAGGTTGATTCCTCTTTGTAACAATTTTTAATAACTTTATATTTAATCTTTTATAATAGAAAAGTTATATTCTCTTATTTTAATATGTTCTTAACATTTTGCCTATGTTGTTTCACTTTGAAAAGTTCTGAAAATGGCCTTTTTTTATTTAAGAAATAATGCTTTTGTTTTTAAAATGCCTTTGTTTTCTTCATTTTGGAAGCCATTTGCATTTTTTATATTTCAAATTTAATGGATGAAAAGATATTCTATTTAATAAAAAGAATAATGTGTGAAAATGTATACAACATACAGCAAAAATAAAGTGCAAAAATTTAACAAACAATGCCGCTAAATTTATTGTTTTGAAATCACGATCCGCGAGCTGAAACAGCTTAAAATTTTGTTTTTTAATTTTTTACTTTCAACCCCAATGACGTGGATCCACGTCATTGCTATTAAAGCACCAAACCCCAATGACGTTGATCCACGTCATGAAACTTTAAAAATCAATAGAAAATCGGGTGGCAATCCACGTCATTGGGCACCTGGCCCCAACAACTTTTCGCGGCCGTCTCATGATGACATGACCTTGACAGGCTCCTCCCCTCCCTCTCGCCCCCCCTTCCACCCCCTTTACATCATGGCACACGTGATTTCCCACTTCCTTCCTCTTCTGTAAACAACTGCAGTGTGCTCAACTTACCTATTTATAGTGCTCTTGTTTTTTTGTCTTATTTTCAATATCTTTCACTTATAAAATACTTTTTGAAGGATTATTTTCATTTTATGATGGATCCTAGTCAACCAAGCACCTCCAAATTGGTAGGTCCATTTTATAAATCTTCTCTTGATGAAAAACATCTAGACGAATTTTGCTCTGATTCTGGGTCTGAAATTGATGATCCAGTTGTTGATCCAGATTATGTTGAAGGTCTGGATTCAGATGAAACTGAAATATATGATTTGGAAGAAGGAGAATTTGCTCAGCCTCCATCTAAACAAAGGAGACTTGAAGAGCCCCAAGATGAGGGTTGGGCAAATGTTCGGAATCCCTCAGTAAACTGTCCGGTTTTCTTAGACCAACCTGGCCCTAAAATGGATTTTTTTACACAAACAATGTCCCCATATAATATTTTCAAAACTTTTATTGACGAAGAAATGTACAGGAAAATTAAATTAGAAACAAACAAGTATGCAAGGTCTACAATTGATAAACAGAAGAAAAGGGGTCCTCTCAAGGCATATAGCTTTCTGGCTAATTGGAAAGCAGTGTCAATTGCAGAAATAAAGTTATTTTTTGCCTGCATTATACACATGTGCCTTGTTATAAAGCCAAGAATGAAAGATTACTGGTCCACCAATTCTGTCCTCAATACCACTTTCTGTAAAAAAATAATGGCTAGAAATAGGTTCGAAGCAATTTTGTCAATGCTTCACCTGGCTGATAATTCTTCCTATATTCCTTTTGGACAAAGTGGACATGATCCTCTATATAAAATAAGAACTTTTCTAGATCCTCTTACCAAAAAATTCCAATGCCTTTATTCCCCGACCCAGAATCTGACCATTGATGAAGCTATTTGTCCATTCAGAGGAAGAATAAGGTTCCGTATTTACATAAAAGGCAAGCCTCACAAATATGGAATAAAGATCTACCATATTTGTGAAGCCAATTCTGGTTATACCTGTAATATCAACATATACACAGGTAAACATCCAAGCCAGGAAGAAGGCTATAACTCTATACCAAATTTGGTAGAACGATTGGCCTCTCATCTCTTCAACAGAGGTCACATCATTTATTGTGACAGGTGGTTTTCTTCGCCCCACCTCTTCAACTATCTATGGGAAAAGAAAACAATGGCTGTTGGTACAGTAAAAACTAATAGGAAAGGTCTTCCTAAGAAATCCTTTTCAAAAAAATTGAAGAAAGGTGAAGAAATGCATCTATTCAAGGGTAGCCTAATGGCAATGAAATGGCGCCACACCAGAGATGTTTGGATGATCTCAACTGTTCACGACCATCAAATGGTTGAAGTCATGGGGAGACCTGGACTTTCGCAAGCTCCAATATTCAAACCACAAGTTGTTCTTGACTACAATAAGAATAAAATTGGAGTGGACCGAAGTGACCAGATGCTCTCCTATTATTCTTTTGATCGACGCACAATGAAATGGTGGAAGAAACTATTTTTCCATATATATGGACTTGCTATTGTAAATTCATGCATAATTTACAATAAATTGAATCCTGATGCTAAAATGTCTTTGAGGGACTTCCATATTTCAATATGCGAAGCTCTTTGCTCAGAAGCCAATCAAGATATTCTTGATGCTCAACCTTCAAGCGGTGAACAATCTGATCGACTTATTGGACGTCATTTTATTCGCCGAATCAAAGTTGAAGGCAAAACATATGCCCAACGCAGATGCAAAGTTTGCGCTGAAAAAGGCAGGGTAACCACTGGCAAGCAGGCAAGAAAAGATACAGCCTATGAATGTGAGACCTGCCTAGTTCCACTATGCCTTGGTGATTGCTTCAAACTGTACCATACAATAAAAGATTATTATAAGGTATAAAAATTATTTTATCGCATTAAATTATTGTATATATATATAAATTACTTCATTTTTTAAAAAATAAATGTCATTTTCATTATATAAATTTATTTTTGGATCATTTTTGTGTTGGAGTGATTTTCATTTTTGAATAAAATTTTGATTTTTTCAAAATTTAATAATAAAATATATATTGAATTTATTTTAAAAATGTATCTTTTATAATGTTTTCAACACTTATTTTTACCATTATTACAATTAATATTTCATTTGGATCATGCTTAAAGTATTTTTCAAAATTTTCAAAAATTACACTTTTTAGCTGGGCCGAGGGGGCCGTAATAGTATTTCAGCTTCGTCCTCTAAGTGTTAAATTACAATTCTAAGTTCGTTATAAGTATAGTATTTTAAATAGATTTTATCATTTTGGGACCCGAAATAGGTTCGTTATAGGGGTAGTTCGTTATTCTAAAAATCGCAAAGTTCGTTATAACGATGGTATTTTCAATGGAATGGAATTGGGAATCAGCGTGGGTTCGTTATAAGGGAAGGTTCGTTATATCCAGGGTTCGTATTATGTGTGTATGTGGGTATCTATGTCGGCTATACACATAAATATGTGAAGGAATACTTGAAAGATAATATCGCAACTTTACCTTCACATTCCAGGCTACAAAAATGGAAAGAAATAACCACAAATGAAATGATGGCATTCTTTGGAATCATTTTCAACATGGGTCTGAATCCCAAGAATCAAATAATGAATTACTGGAGTAAAGAAAGATGTTTTAGACAAAATTGGTTTCCTGATGTTATGTCTAGAAACCGTTTTGAGCTAATTTATTCTTTCTTTACTACCTGTGATTCATATAAAATGCCTAAACACACTGACCCTGGCTATGACCCCACTTTGAAATATAGAGACTTGATAAATCATGTAAACTTCAAATTTTTATATTATTATAAGCTCACTCAACATCTAAGTATTGATGAAAGTCTGGTGTGCCTGAAAAATCATACCAGATTATTGCAATACATGCCAAACAAACATCATGGCCGCTTTGGAATAAAACTCTGGATGTTGTGTGAGGCTAGAACTGGATACTGTCTCCAGTTTTATGTATATAAAGGTAGATTTAGCGAAATATCTAAAAGTCTATCTTATGATGTACCAATGAAACTCCTTACCGACACAAATATGATAGGAAGGGGTTATCATGTTGTAATGGATAACTTCTTCACCAGTGTGGACCTTGCCAAAGACCTAGCTGGTAAACAGACCTATCTGACTGGAACTATATGGTCCAATCGTAGAGGCTATCCCAAAACTTTGAAAAGAGCCTCCCTACATGTAGATGTAGTCATCTATATGAAAAGTGATATGCAGCTAGCAGCAGCATACAAAGAAAAAGCTAAACGAAAATCAATAAACTTCCTGAGCACCTATTGTGATGCCGTTTCAGAGACCAAACCTGGTAGTTCAAGAGACCCCCATCATTTATATCCTCAGGTCAAAACCGTCTATGATAAATACATGGGCGGTGTTGACCTGAGTGATATGATGATGTACTGCTATATGGACGAAAGAAAGGGCCGTAAACATCACAGAAAGGTTGTCATAGACATAATACACAAAGCTCTTCTGAACTCCTACATCCTATACAGTCAACATTCAAATGATTCTCCCAAGCTGACCAGGCAGAAATACCAGGTCTCAGTGATAAATAGCCTTGTAGAGGGCACTATCAAGGGATCTACTTCATCAGCAACCACCAGCAGCAATATTCAATTGGAAAAATTGACCGAGAAAAAGGAACGACAGTGCGTTGAGTGTAGGATTCGAGGAGAGAAAAGAAGATCCAGAACTATTTGTTCTGGGTGTAAAATGGGATTGCATGGAGTATGCGCGCTGAATCACCGTTGTAAATGAAGAAGAATCTTTGTACATAAATTTTAATCCGAGTGAAATATTTTGTATCTCTTACCTTTATACCTGCTATTTGAATTTAGATTATCCATTTTATTTTGTTTTTTTTTTTCTTGTAAATATGCCGATCAATAACTAAATGTATATAGCAAATACAATTATTTTAGCCATTCAATTTTAAAGAACAATGTTTCTAGATAATAAAATCATTTTGTTTTTCAATATTGAAAAGTGTTTCTTGGAGTTATGAGGAAACAAGAAGAACAGTGCAGAGGAAACAATTGGGCGAACAAATGGTGACGGCCGATTACGTCACGCCGGCACTTCCGGCAGTGGCGCTTATAGGGTTAATACATATTTTAGAAACAAAAATAATTGTAACAAATAAATTTACTGGCAATGTGTTTCTTTTCAGTAATATAATCAAATATTAACTCTACAGACATTAAAATATTAAATATAATATATTAAATAATATTTTATTCTAATTGAAAAATATAGCAGTTGAAAGGAAATAAATATGGTAAATAAAAAGAAAATTTTAAAATATTATTTAAAAATTATCATGAAGATCTTTTAAAAAATTCCTTTATAGATGTCTGTTTTTGCACTGAAATCCTATTCAGGATGTATTCCAGACGGTCATTTTGAAAAAAACATGCATGTCTTTCTTCTTCTAAAATGTTTTTTTAATAAATACATTTTAATGTATTAAAGTCATCCACTGCTGCTGCAGGTATTATTGATTTTGTGTTTAAATCTTTTATAATAACACAGAAATGGAATATTGAAATAAAATGTTATCATAATCATTGTGGCTACATTTTATAAAGATTTATTTATTTAAAAAGAAATTATTTATAAATTTAAAAATAGATAAAATATTTCAACGTTAAAAATAAAAAAATAAAAATTATTATTAGTTAGCGCATGATACCGAAATTCCCGCGTAAAAAAACAACAATAACATCCGCAAAATTGCGCAACGGCACTGCAAAGTGAAACTTAAACTAACCAGAAACCAAAAGTGCGCAGGCGCGATCCGATCGGCCCCCACCGTAAAACCGTTTAGCGGTAAAGTTGCATGTAAAATAACATTCAACTGTCGAAATTCGAATTTTAAAATGGTCGAACTATCGGAACTGTCGTATTATTATTTTGTTATTTGATAGGCCGGAGGTCGGGACATCGGAACATGGTCGAATTATCGCCGAGTGTCGAATTGGGGTGTGTCGAATTAACGAGGTTATACTGTATAAAGAAAGGGAGAATAAAAGACCAAGCTGGGAAATGATATCCGACAAGAGCCCCGAATTGAAGGCCTTGTGTTACAGTGGGACTCCCTCAGTATAGATAACGGACTGATGAAAAGAATTTGGGAAAGTGCAGATAGAAAGAGTAAAACCATGCAGCTATTAGTCCCTAAGGTCCAGATTCCCAATGTCCTACAGGAAATACATGATGGAATATCGGGGGCTCATTTTGGCATTAATAAAACACTAAAGAAAGTTAGGGAGAGATTCTATTGGGTATTCTATCACGAGGATGTGGAAAGGTGGTGCAAAGAATGTGACAGGTGTGCCGCAAGCAAAGGACCAAAAACTAGGTCCAGAGGAGCGATGAAAGAATACAATATGGGAGCACCATTTGAGAGAATCGCGATCGATGTGGCCGGTCCATTCCCAGTTACAGAATGCAGCAACAGATATATCTTGGTCGCCATGGATTATTTCACTAAGTGGCCCAAAGACTACGCAATCCTGAATCAGGAGGCTACGACAGTTGCGAAAGTTCTAATGGACAACCTGATTTGCCGGTTTGGAGTACCACTGGAATTGCATTCGGATCAAGGACGAAACTTCGAGGCAGGGGTGTTCCAAGAATTATGTAGGCTGTTGGGGATTCGGAAGACAAGAACTACTCCCCTTCACCCCCAATCTGATGGAATGGTTGAAAGCTTCAATAAAACGATGGAGGAACATTTGTCTAAAGTGGTGGAGCAGCACCAAAGGGATTGGGACCTAAGACTGCCGCCATTTCTTATGGCGTACCGAGCCATAAGCCAAGATAATGTTTGGAAGAGAATTACGACTTCCAGTGATTTGAAGTTAGGCAGTCCTGGGGAGCCGCCGGGAGAGGTATTGACAACTGTACAATACATTTAATTTTTCTGCACACGTGTTTTTCAATTTTTTTTTGTTTTTGAACGAAGTAGTGTTGTATACTTTGTCAATTTAATTGCACATGTGTTTCTGTAAGTAAAATTTTTAAAATAGTGTTAAATTGAGTTTTAAAGCTTAAAATAATATTTTTAACGCATATAAGGTATCAAATTAGAATTTACATGTAAATATTTTGCAAATATAAAAAATTACGAAACTTGCTCCCCAGGCATGATGAATAAAGTTGGAAAAAAAGAAAAATTGAAAAGGAGATATACTGTATCATGTAAAAATTTTTTGTATAAAATGATGTATATAGGAAAAATAATTATATACTAAAACAAAACTAAATGTTATATTATTTTATATGCAAATGTATATAAAAATAAATAAATTACGTAGTGAATAAATTTTAATTTGTTTTTTTTTTTAATATACATTTGCATATAAAATACTATAACATTTAGTTTTGTTTTAGTATATAATAATTTTCCCTATATACATCATTTTATACAATATATTTTTACATGATATTTGTCACTAACAATTTACCCTAACAACATTAGTGTTATACAAGTTTTATTTCGTACAACGCGAATTCCTATAACACGATTTCATACAACACAGAACACATTAATCACGTTATAGGAGAGTTTATTGTAGTTCCAATAAGTTCTTGTATATGATGGTTTTTAAAATATAAACATAGTAATCTATATTAATAAAATTGAAATTTCATAAGTGGACATCACTAAAAACTTTCGTTACAATGCATCAATTTCGACCAAATTTTCAAAATTTATGTAAAACGAGATGGAGCAGGTTTTGCTTAACATCAAAATATTTTTCCTAACTTTAACATACATAACTTTGCTGTTATCGATAAAATACAAAAAAATTCAACAGAGTTAAAGAGTTTACACTTTCAAAAGTGTTTACACTTTTGCGCTTCTTGGAAAATTAGTTTTTATCTTTTTTATATATATTTTAATAACTTTTATACATGGTAAGATACTTTTATTTTATAGTTTTCATATTTTATACCAAAAAAAGTTGAAGCCTTACTTGATGAGATCAATTTTATTTTTTAGATAAATTTTTAGGCTTTTCAAAAGTGTTTACACTTTTGCACTTCTTGGAAAATTAGTTTTAATCTTTTTTATATATATTTTAATAACTTTTATACATGGTAAGATACTTTTATTTTATAGTTTTCATATTTTATACCAAAAAAAGTTGAAGCCTTACTTGAGATCAATTTTATATTTTAGACAAATTTTTAGGCTAATTTTAATTTATTTATTTTTTATTTTATATACAGATTATATATGCTATTTCTAACTTACGTGGTTAGTATTTTTATAAGACTAAGGTTATTTATATTATTTTTTACAAAAAAAGATTGAAATTTCATTAATGTGCTCAATTTTATGTCTTTTTGAGGACCTTAACAAAATTTTTAATTAATTGTTTAGATATTTTAATAACAGATTATTTATGGTGTTTTCCACTTATATGGGTTGTTTTGTAAAAAAAATTTGGGTTATTTCTATTTTTTTCACTAAAAAGCTTGAAATTTCATTAATGTGCTCAATTTCATGTCTTTTTTGAGGACCTTAACAAAATTTTAATTAATTGCTTAGATATTTTAAAAGTAGATTATTTATGGTGTTTTCCACATACAGTAAAACCCCTCTATAGTGAACCCCAATGGGACAGAGCTTTTGGTTCACTATAGGCACGGTTCACTATAGCCACAGTTTGGCTATTTTTTTTTACTTTTCTAAATTTTTAGACTGTATGATTAAAGGACAGCTATACACACAAGAAGAGGCTTCCTCTTAATAGTGGTCACTTTGTTTTAATTCCCTTAATTGACCAATTTCCTTACATTAATACTGAATAATAATAGAAATCATTAGATGATAGGTTCTTCTTATCATTAACATACATGTACCTCTATGTCTAATTTAAAAATCAAGACAAATCCTAGGCAAAGTTTTATTAAATATATATTCAAAGATATAAAATGGATTTTAAAGCATCATTATCACATTATATAATACATTGTTTACTTGGAAAAATGGCTCTAACACCTTGTTGCTTCAAAACATCCTTCAAGCATTGCACCATTCAAATAAAGTTAGTGTTTTTCTTCCATTTCATTTTCCCACATATTCTTCTTGGTCTAGATTTCGTTTTTTTTTTTTTTTACCTGTCATGCAAAACATTGCTGACTTTAAAATCACCATAGTTAATGGCATAAAAATAGTTTTTGTTTCATCACGGGCCCATTTATTTGGATTTTTTTTTTTTAGCCCTAAAACGTACGATCGCGATCGCGGCAAAAGTTGAGGTTGATTTCTCTTTGTAACAATTTTTAATAGCTTTATATTTTATCTTTTATAATAGAAAAGTTATATTATCTTAATTTAATATGTTCTTAACATTTTGCCTGTGTTGTTTCACTTTGAAAAGTTCTGAAAATGGCCTTTTTTTAATTTTTAAAAAGAAATAACGCTTTTGTTTTTAAAATGCCTTTGTTTTCTTCATTTTGGAAGCCATTTGTAATTTTATATTTCAAATTTAATGTATGCAAATATATTCTATTTAATAAAAAGTATAATGTGTTAAAATTTATACAACATACAGCAAAAATAAAGGACAAAATTCAAAACAAACAATGCCGCTAAATGTATTGTTTTGAAATCGCGATCCGCGAGCTGAAAAATGCTCAAAATTTGGTTGTTTTAATTTTTTTTAAATAACAATTCTAAGTTTGTTATAGGCATAGTATTTTAAATAGATTTTATTATTTTCAGACCGAAAATAGGTTCGTTATAGGGGTAGTTCGTTATTCTAAAAATCGCAAAGTTTGTTATAACGATGGTATTTTCAATGGAATGGAATTGGGAATCGGCGTGGGTTCGTTATAAGGGAAGGTTCGTTATATCCAGGGTTCGTCTTAGCGG